TTAGAAATTCTTTTTACTTTTTTTTCAGCTTCGTCTCCTCATGATAGAAGCGTCCTAAATGCAACGGGAGATGAAACCTTTGAGATTGGCACCCCAAAAGTTGATGAATCGAGAAACTATCCTGAGGATTTCGAATGGGAATGGTACTTAATTGTTCCTGAAGGACGGCAGCTACAACTTACCTTTGACATATTCGAACTGGAGCAGAGCACAGACTGTGAGAACGACTATCTGGAGGTGAGAGAAGCCATCTCTCAATCACCTACCTTTCCTATCGTAAGTTTTGATGGAAGGTATGGTCCAATTCTCTCCAAACCAGTATGTGGTACCAACAAGCCTGGTACGATTCAGAGCTCGGGTAACATGGTCTGGGTACATTTCAGGAGTGATGGTAACGCTACTACTACTTACAGAGGATTCAAAGCCTCCTTTAAAGCAGGTATGTATGAATATTAGTTTGTCATTAGGTATGTACGTACTCGGTCGTATGAAGAACTCGAACGTTTTTTCGGCGACCGAAACCATGCTAAATATACTTTGTCGTAAAGAAAAAAAAAGGAACAACACGTTTTTAGAGAGCCATTCTTGTATTTTGACTCACCTTACGCTATGGTCTCCTCGCCAAAATACAGCTTGTCTCGTAAAAGATCTTACGTTACTAACCACTTAACTTTGCAATATTAATAAGATATATCATGATTGTACTGCATCTTCTAAATACTGTATTTATTTATTAAACGGTGCGTCATGTTGGCAAAAAGTATGGATCCTTTGCGTATAGGTTTCCTCGTTAAACTTGCCTTCTTAAGTCCTTGGATTGCGATTCCTTTCACATTCAAGTCTCTCTAAAGTGGACACCTTTAGGACAAGTATCGCATGTATCTTTCAGGCCCGTTCATCTAAATCCTAGGTGATTTTAGCTCGCAGCCGTGTCCGTTTAGAGAAAATTCATTGTACTAGTCTTGTCTGATATGGAAGAGATTATTTTCACGGATGATATTATATTCTTTAATCTTAATTTCTTTTAATTTTTTTCATTATCTTAACCATTCCTTCTACTTTTAACCCGGCAAATATGAATTTTTCGTCTGTTCAATTTTTGTAGGCCAGGGACGACTTTCCATCTTACATCCGATGGCCTTCTTGTTCCTCTCCGCTCTGCTAATGGCTACGTCAAAGGACAGTCTGTTCTGAACAGATCCAGCCAGATTCTTTGGTCGTTATAAGTTCACATGAAATAACTCTTTCACCTTATAAGTAGGAACTTAAATACTTTTGAGTGAATTTATCTAAAACGTTAAAAATTATCGCAGTGCTTATCTCACTGCGGTTCTTGTTCACGTACCTTGTTAAATCAAGTCCCTAGAAAAATATTTTTAGCAAATGAGTAATGAGCAGATAAAAACACCTTAAAACAATTCTTATGGATAGAATTGACGTGATTTTCGTGTTGTTATAATGATCGGTACACCCCAAGTAGATGGAAAACTTGGTCACGTGGAATACAAATTCACGTTTGCCGTTTGCCATATAAACGCGATGATTAATGTCTCTAATATTAGACAGTTAAGCTTCACGTATACGGCAAACGGCAAATTGAGAATTTCTCAAAATAGAAAATGAGCAGATAAAAACAGCTCAAAACAGATTCTCATGGATAAAAAATTGCGTGAAACTACTAATTTAGGTGTAGAAATGATGAACAGTAAACGAGAAGTAAAGAGGAAACTTGATCACGTGGTACAAATTCGCGTTTGCCATTTGAAGTAAATATGTAGTGCTCGTGCGTGAGCCAGCGTCATTTTGGCGGGAAAGCGCGATAGCCGTCGTCATTGTATTACAAGTTTTAGTCAGAATGTCGAAGTGGCAGAAAGAAATTATCAAATCTTAGAAGTTTTATCATTCAGCGATCGGGAGACCCTCCAGCCATAAGCGGAGTGCTAACTTTTCTTGTTACAGTCAAACCAGGTCAAGCGTTCCTGTCGCTAGCAAACTAATGAATTCATTAATGAAAAAATGATTTCGTTTGTTGATTCAATAATCCATTCATAAAATGAATAATCCAACAGTCAAATTGGACCTTGATTCAATAATTAAATGTTGATTTGGTTTATGAACAAAATCTACCTGTTCTTTATTCTTGTCTGTTGAGTTCAATCATCATATTTGCTTCCCTTTTCCTGCCGTTTACGATTGCGTTTTTAATTGCCTTTAATCCAAATAACAGCTAGAAGAGACAGACCGCAAACGCAAAGAAACTGACAAAGGCCGGGGATCGAAATCCACCAATCACTGCACATACAATGACCTCAGTTTGACTATCGTGTTTTCTAAGAGGTCAGGTCACTGATTACTGAAAGCAAAACGGCGTACATGTAACAGTTTGTCAGGGTTTGAACTTCAGAACTCGTCCGCACTCGACTCTTAGAAAAAAGGAAGAAAAAAATGTGTAGTTTTACAAAAAACAGTAATCGAATCAACATTCGATTATGGAATCGAGGATAAATATGAATATTGGATTGTTCATTTTATGAATGGATTATTGAATCAACAAACGAAATCATTTTTCCGTTAATGAATTTATTAGTTCGTTAGCGACGGGAACGCTTCAGCTGGTTTGACTGTAAAGATCACGAGACGTAATTTGTATAAACAGTTACATGGAATTGCATAATTCCATCTTTTAGACAAAAGTGGTTTAGAGTCAGGCAATAAGAAAAACAGACAGGTTGCTCATTCCCTTGCTGCCTAACTGAGAAGTAAATCTCAATGTTGGCTTAGGTGAGGGGTAAGTGGGTAGTTTCCCAGGAACGTATAATGATGTGATCATACTTATGTATTTGTGTTAGGTCACGTTAGGGAGAAAAGTTGCCCCTTGAAAAAGGGTCACCCTCCCCTCCCAGCTGAGTCAACTTAAGCGAGCTTTTATAGTTGACCCATTTGCCCCAGCCAAGAGTTCGCGCATGTTCTGATGGTCTCGCTTTCACCGAGCTGGCTCGGCTAGGAGGATGACCTTACCATCAGAAAAGGGTCACCGGGTTAGGCGGGCCAACCTTTCGGCCACGCCAACGTTTTGTTTCTCACGTAAACAGTTCTTCAAGTTTTGTAAGGAACTGTAGGAAACTGTCATGGCCATGGCTCTGCCAGGGTAGCTCGGGTAGGCGAGTGACCGTTCAACCTGAGACAAGTTTTCACCATATGAACGGAGCCTAAGTAAAGTTTTATTGCGTGTAACCAAAGCTATTCAGTAATTTTTAGGATCACTAATACTGCACGTGTGAGCTAAATATAATCTACAATTAATTATAAGTTTGTAAAACAAATGGTTATTCATCGAGTGCCTTATGTAAAGGACATTGCTGGACATGGGCAGCCATATTTACCTGGTCAGTAAAGTTAAGCTAAACGACGAAGGTCGAGCCGTTTGCGGGACAAAGGAACTGTTCTTTCTCTGCCATTTCAAGACCCTGAGTGTTGGTTCGGCTACACTAGACCTTCCGCTCTGCACACCACCGCTCTACTGACTGTCAATTAACCGTGTTAGAGTTATAGTATAACCGATTTTAATAAGAACCAGAATCCTGCATAGACAACCAGCAGTTCAACAATCAGGTCATAAAAGCCCTATCTTAAGGAATTTCTTGTGATTACTCGATAATAAAAGTTGCTCTGTGAACTGCACTCAGTTTATGACGGCCCTGTCACCGACATATACCAACACGCAGAAAACATTTTTGTCATTCTTATGTAGGGCTTAACAATAAACCTTAATGCTTCAGCTATAAACTGCGTCTAATATTCAATCGATTTTAAGGGGCCTCTTAAAGGACCTTTTATTAAAGTTTAGTGGCGATGATTGTCAACATCCTTTCGCGCCATTGATATAGAACACAAACCCCACATAGACTAGACATATTAATCGGTTCCGCATACTTATGGTTGCTTTCATCTAACGCGTTTAATTATCTCAGGCATTTATGCCCCAGATGTCCATGGTTTTTTTTAATATTTTGGTAGTTCGCAAATTTTTCGCAAATTTTCACTGAAAAGTAAACTACATTCGTTCAACCTTTTGGTAGGTCGATCCAACAGCTAATTAACTCCAATGAAAATAACTCTTGAAAGCGCGAAAAACAAACCAACCAAAACCCTTTCCACGCACGTCTAGTGCGAGTTTTGACAAGTGAGTCTAGTCTAGCACGTCAGTCTCTCAGGGGTTAACTATCTCGACTGTCTCACATGCCGTGCCGGTAAGAGGCAAACTTACCAAATTTTCTCTTTTAACTTTACAAGGCGTTTTTCAATTCTCGAAACCCGAGATCTAAACTTATTCTTGTTGCGACAATGTTCGCCTCTTTCGCCCTCTTCATAAACGATTGCCACACAGTCAATGATGGCCACGCCGTCTGCAACCTCAGCGACCTCGGCCATTGTGAGAAAACGTGTAGGACCTCGAATTACCGGCACAGGTAGAGGAGAGGGTAGGCCAAATCTCCATAGATGCAAATAGCTTGAGCTGCTGGATTATAGGCATACTGTTGAAGGTCCCGCAGTAGTCCAGAATCGTTTAACATCCCTGCGTCGTGTTTTACGCCCCTCTAGAAACGAAATTAAAATCAAACATGAGAAGAGAATTTTTTTGGGGGGAGAGGGAGGGGGTTGTTTAAGTTTAAAACAGTAACGTTTTATTACAAACTCACCAACTGGTCCAAATAGGTTGCCAATAAGTCCATTTGGTAGGGGCAAGGATTGGAATTTTAACGCGTGTACCCTCTTGTGGCCATTGTACACAATTCTCTGACGCTCATTTGGTCTTGAAATGGGTCGGACTGTTCCATCTACAAAACCGAAACAGTTGCCAAGGGGGGCTCCTTTTCCTGATATAGCTTCTGCATAACGCTGCAAAGCCCCAGGATTCAGAAGATCTCGATTCCATTGTGTTATACGGTGCCCATGAACGTAATAAATATAGTCGATGACATCATTTGAGATCAGGCTTATAACAGAAACCGGTCGGCCAAATCGCGGAATCAGATCACTGAGTCTGCATGGGTAGGCAACTCGTTTGAGGAGTATGCATAGGCCTTCCATGTCGTCGCAAATACTCCTCTGCTCGCATTTAAACACCGGTGGTAGTTGGAGGGTTGCAACAAGGCGAGGGAGATCGTGTTTGTCGCCGTGACACGAAACTCTGCTTTGCACTCCGCGGAGTTCATAGAATCCAAATCAAACCGTTGATAGTTTTCATGGGGAAAATCTGGATTCTTTGAGATGAAACTATCGTAAAGTAGCAAAAACTCTTCATCGGAAATAACTTCATCGCCGTAGAGAAGTACAAGGGGGTCACGAAATTCTTTGAAAGACATTTTCCCTGGTGACTTTCACTGTAAGAAGAGACTCGTCCACGTACCGTAACAGGTTTGCTAAATGTTTTTGTTTCCCGCCGAATTACCGCCGTGGACGACGTTCTCGTTCCAGGCCCCAATCGGTCATACCAGTCCTCGTCCTCGTTCTCGTCTTCATTGCTAAAGGTCGCTATTATCATTGGATGCATCAACAATCACATTGTATATTATCGATCATTGACTGTCACAAAATGACCCACAAATGGTGTAATCATTTACGGTTATGTCACAAGACTCCTAAATATTAACTTTTATTGACCCTTATATCCTACTGTGTTTTGTTTTGCGTATTGTATCGAAAGGAAAGCGCAAATAAACGGTACCGTAATACCGTGAACAATCTTATTTCACCGAATACAGTCAGCCAAAATGATGAAAAACCGCATACCGCAGAGCTAGATAATACCGCAATACCGCACGTGAAAATTAAAATTACCGAAATACCGCATGAAAAAAGGCCCAATACCGTAATACCGTAAACCTCCATGTCCCTTTCATCGTACCTCCTCTACAGTCTTAATATTAAATCATTCGACATTACTTTGAACAATTGGCGTATGCCTTAAACCATTTGTCTCTCGATTAAATCATTCGACATTACATTGAACCATTTGCGTATGACTTAAACCATTTGTAAATGTTTGCGTGAATTCTTAATGACTTTACTCAAATCATTACGCAACAGAGCAGCCGACCGTTCGTTATCATGCAAGCTCGATCCTTTCGTACATGGTATCAATATCAGTCAATAAGTTATACATATCTCTGGTAGACCTTGTGGGGTGTGTTACATTGTCAACAAACTTCAGCTATCGGTGTAGTTTGGCTGAACAGACGAAGCAAGTAAAAAGTACCGCGAAGAACGTGATGGCCTTAACTGCACGTATTTCAACTCTGCAAGTTGTAGGTACGTTAGCTATCATGATCTCAATTTTTTGACAACCAAAAAAAAATTAGAAATTACAAGGAACGTTTCAGTCGTAGTCTGTCGACAGACGTGTTAGCAAGTTCTTAAATTCATTTCCACGATCCTACCGACCAAAGGTGACGTCTACCCTTTAGCTTAACTGTGCATATTTCTTCCAGTTCACTTACATTAAAACATACTTAGGCCCTTTTCAAACGTCGTGCTACTGCCGTGCCGAACTCAGTTGATCGAATTAAATTCGACTTTAGCACGGTAGTAGGGCTACGTTGGAAACCTTGGCAACAGCCGTTCTATTCGACTTAATTAAATTCGACGTCTGAAACCACGTTGTGCTAGTGTCGTGCTGCAGTCGAACTACGGTCGAGCCAGTTCGGCACGGTAGTAGCACGACTTTTGAAACAGGCCTTATTTCAAAATAGCGATCATTCACGTGTTTAGGCAAGATTAAATGTTGAATATGCAGTAGCAGGCAAACAAGAAAGAAATCATTTCGCAGCAGCACTCTTCTCTCCTAATAGCAATAAATGTCCATGTTTTACTGCACACCTTGAAGACTGATTAATCAATGCCAACGATTCGCGCCGGTGAGTGGTCCGTTACTGCTACACACTTAGCTTGTATCAAGAGAGGATGTATATATTGGTTTGAAAAGCTTCGATAACAAGGATTTATGAATTTTTTATTGGGAATCGAACGCCTGAAACTGAAATTTGCGCCGTTAATTGCATACTGATGGGGGAATATACTGAATTTCGTTTGATCAATGAAATTGTATCTGTATTCAGTGTGTATTCAGTTTCCGTCACCATTGACGTTAGAGTGTAAGGGTTTATAGAGTCCGCATGACAACCAGACTTATTGCCAAAACAACTCCTCTGAACAGAAACGAATTAAAATATTTTTCTCTCTTACCCTCAATACTTACTGAACTATGCGGTAAACGTCTCGAAAACTATGAAGACTTATTCATACTATTTTCGTTTTTAAATAGATTAGGGAAGAATCGGATCGAACTTCTAAAGCGGAAATTTCTTATTCGATAGAAAAGTATAATTTGTGTTCTCGAGATCAGTAAAACAGGTTGTCACTCAGTATATAGAACAAAAAAAAGCTTAAGACAACATGTATTTCGATTTTTTTAAACTTCTCTCTGGGAGACGGCATTCTAAATGATCTGTTTTATTTCTTTTGGGGAATCTCGGGCTTTCAGGGTTGCAATTCTTATTTGAGAGCAAAAAGGTGCATTTTCGTGGCGGAGCCACATTGTGAGGCGACACTGATCGGAAATTATCCTGGTTCTACTGCCAAACCAAACAGCGACTGGTGAAACAAACAATCGCTGACTGGTTTTTCGCCACCTACACAGTCTAAACACAGCCGAACCTGAATTCAGTTGGACAGTAACTTTATTAATTTAACACTGATCAGGTTTTCATTATGTCTGCTCCATTTCAGTTTTACTATCTCTCTTTGGTAAAGGAATCTGTGATTCAAGTAAGTAAAAATACCTGGTCACGGTGAAAACTTCTAACGATAGCGGGGACACCAAAATGATACTGATTTGTTGGCTTCACACTAGAGCCTCAAGTATAATGTAAGTGTACTTGGAACCTACTTTGAGTGTCATGGAAGGGGTAAAATGTACCTACTTCAACTTTACTTGGTGACCATGGAAACGTCCACAGTTCAAAGAAGCCGAAGTTCGCCCTTAAGTATGGACTACACCACACTTAAGAACACACTAGCCTGCGAACAGCAGACGCACTATTTCCGGTCGTCGCTTCTCTCCCTCCGAAATTTTTCGGAGGGAAAGAAGCGACGACCGGAAAATGCGTCTGCTGTTCGCAGACTAAGAACACACTGAGAAATGGAAGCCATGTATACGATGTGGACATACAGCGGTTCCAAGATTCTAATGAAAAGAGAGATTGACAGCTTTTACTTCAAGTAGCATACTTTGTCAACAAGTGTGAAGCCACCTTTTCTACAGAGCGACTTACAATTTCCAAGTGCACTTGAATCAAGTGCTTACTTGAAACTAACTTCTCTTCTAGTGTGAAGTGACAATTAACATAAATCTTAAACTTCTTTTCTTCTTGTGGCTACGCATGCCTTGATGTCACGAAGCGCAGGCGGGCAAGACGTGAACTAGCAGAAGCCAATGTATAAGCGAAAAAAAAAATGGTTTGATTTTTTAGTTTGAATAATGTGAGGGAATCTAAGACAGTCTGGATTCGTCGCCGTGGATTCCGGATTACAGGTAGTAGATTCCAAATTTGTCAGTGGAATTTGGATTCCGGATTTCAATCATTAGTGAGATTTCGGATTCCTTGAGCTGTATTCCGGATTCCACAGGCAAATTCCTTCTGGTTTCCGGATTGAACAAGCAAACGTTTCTTGGATTCCGAAATCCGGATTCCCTTACCGGCTCATTCGCTCACCATTTCAAGACCTTTTAAGCCAACCATACAGTCACTTAGTAGCATACCATAAACCGGTAGCAAAAACTCCACAGAGCAACTCGATATTCACAAGCACAAAGAAAAAAGCCGGTAAGAGACTGACTAAGTACTTCCAAAGCTCAGTGACGAGTGCTACTCTCTGGAATAATTTCTTTTCGAAAGATTCAAAGACATGCAAAAGTATAATGTCGGAGATATAATTTTCGCCCAGATTGGAATTTGCACGTTTTGCTGTGGCGTGGCAAGTAGAAAGTGATAGCGTCGTTTTTATTAATGTTGGTTCTTTATTTCAGTTTGCCCAAATGGAATTGTAAACATGACGGGGTCTACCACTCCCTGTGAACACATAGGTTCGAGACCGTTGATACCTTATTTGCTCTGTTTTACAACCTCCTAACTTCAAGGGTTCGGAATGTATCCGTTTGGAATATATTTTCACAGGTACAGTTGCCTGCTTTCTGTCGAGGTTTCCTCTTTCTTGACTTAAATACCATATTATCTGAGCCGCTAAGAATATTGCGTAGCACTGAAGCGTTCCCATCGAGTAGTGCGCAATTGATATTTAATCACATTAGTTATAAACAACGTATCGGTGGTATATTCGACACTTAATGATTGGTCCCGAAGGAAAATAAAGCGAGCTGTTTACCTCGTGACCAGTCTTTAAGTGATTTGGTATCACTAGTAGCCCACGAAGAAAACCTTTCCGTGTGCGAGCGGTCAACTTTCGCGGGTAACAGTGCACTGTTACCCTCTGACGTCATAGATTTCGCAATATTGCCCGCTTAAAGATTTTGGCGGGAAACTGTTTCATTGTTAGATATCATGTGACCTCGAAGTAACCAATTAAGTGCGCGCTGTTGGGAAAAAAATTTCAACCATATAAAAAAAGAATTATTTAATTTCCTTCGTTTAACAACGGTGAAATCTAGCATCTAAATTTTACTAATTGTTACTCCTTTTTATTATTACACTGAAATTGCGGGCTGTTTTTGGTGTGTTTTCAAATGCGCGAAAACTGAACCGAAGTTTTCATCCATTTCCCCTGGCCCTTTCTCCTATTTTTTCACCTCAGTTCAGCTTTTGCGAGGCTTTACGTATCCACTCTACGAAGCACAAACGATTAAAGTCACCAAGAAGAAGAGAAGTAACCGACTTTTGTGCTTCACGAAAAAAACTGATGATTAAAAAATACAGCAGTGAAATAGGTTTGATATCAACGCCTTGATAAATTTTTTATGAAAGTTATCGGGTATAACAAAAAGTGCGATTCGTTTTAAGTCTTTTAAACGAAACGATTACCAGGACTATTCGAGATACACGCTATGTTTGAGATACCCCTGTTTAAGAAAACACTTAGAAGACGCTGATCACGAATTCAAAAGTAAAGGTTATGATCTTATTATTTTTCCGTGACGAACTCCTGGTTAAAAATAATTATGCAGGATATTACAGAAGTAAACACTTCTTTATTTATTTTTATTTATTTTATTTTATTTGCCAGACAATAATTACAAAAAATAAAGGAAAAGAGCGAAAAAAAAAGTGGCGAGGAGACCTAACAGAAACAATAGGAGCTTATATGAGAGGTTTGGCCTCCTCGAACTACGGTTTAGAGCTGTTTAACAGCAATTAAAGAAAACATGGTGAAAAGTCGAAGATGGAAACATTTATGAACTGTTTTCATATTTACTCAATAATTTAATATTCAGTTTTTTCTTAAAAGAGGGAAGGGATTGAGAGCTGATGACCTCGTTGTCAAGTGAATTAAAAAACTAAGGCCCTTGAAAAAAGGGCGAGAACTTCTTAGTGTTTGTACGACAATACGGTAGACGGTAGGCCTGGGAATTTTTTGTGTTGTAAGAGTGGAAATGATTGCTTTGGGAGAAATTGTTATTAAACCTTGGAGGTAAGAATGAATTTTTGCAAGAGTACATAAACTGGGCCAGTTGAAGCAAATGGATATCATTAAATTCTAGTATACGGCGAGATCCTTAAAGATGGGGTCTGTATGAGCATTGAAATGTGAATTTATTAATGATTCTAATAATGCGCTTTTGCAGGATAACAAGGCGGCGGAGACTGGTTTTATAGGTCGAAGCCCAAACTATATTGCAGTAGTAAAAACGGGATAAATTAAGGAATAGTAGAGCATACGTAGAGACGATTTAGGAAGAAAGAAGCTGCATCTAGATATTATTCCGATTGACTTCGCAACTTTATTTGCAACCTGTGATATTTCCGACTTCCAATTTAGGTTTTCATCCAAAATTACTCCTAGAAAATTTGTCTCCTTTACTTTAAAAATTATTTTGATTATCTATACTTATTTGAATATTGCAAATTGAACGCTTTTGTCTTGGTTTAAAGACCATAAATTTAGAGGATAGAACCCTGAGGAACCCCACAAGAGATTTCATATCTTAACGAACGGTGGCCATTATATTCAACATATTGCTTTCTGTTTGAAAAGTTACTTTTATCCAGTCCAGCGCTAAGCCACGAATACCGTAATTTTCGAGTTTATCAAAAAGGATGACATGATTTGCAGTGTCGAAGGCTTTTGAGAGGTCAAGAAAAATACCTACGGAAAATTCACCTCGGTCAAAGGCAGTGGAGATATTGTCATGTAAGTCGATAAGTGCGAGTGCAGTAGAATGATTTTTCCTAAAGCCGTATTGATTACTACATAGGATGTTGAAATTCATCAGGTATTCGATTAAACGATTGTAGATAACTCTTTCAAAGAATTTTGAAAAGCTGGGAAGTACTGAGATGGGTCCGTAGTTGGTGAAAATTGACTGATCATCAGATTTAAAAATAGGTATCACGCGAGCGATTTTCATTTCATCGGAACAATACCTTGCTGGATAGACAAGTTTATAATATGAGTGAGTGGTTCAGAAACAAGTAGAATGAACTCCTTAATGACTGTCATTGGAATCTGGTCGTAGCCAGCTGCTTAGCCTGGAAGAAAAGTTTGAGCAATTTCAGCGATCTCATCTTGAAGAATATTGACTGTGTAAAGGAACCATTAAGAAAAGTACGGTATGAAGCTGACGACTGTATACCCTTTGCTCAATTAGGACCGATGCTTGAAAAATAACAACAAAACTTGTTGGCAATTTCGACAGGATCAGTAATTTCACGATCATCAGCTTTAAATGTTGAGCATCGATTGGAATTTCTTTTGCTTCTGTTTAGAATTTCATGTCAAACTTTCCAAGTAGCACAAGTATGAGAGCTAGTATTCGATTGAACGTTATTCAATTTCTTCTCGTACACAGACGTTTTCTATCCGCAGAGAAGTTAAAAATATATATAAGACATACCTTGCTTATTGTACGTCTTTGACAAAAAAAAAAAGACAAGATCCGTCAGAGAGTGTTTCTGCTGCCTACACGCTATGCGCGGTCAAGTCACTGATTTTGCACGTACAAATGAGTCCATTGCTCGTCCATGGTGGTTTATCTTTAATTTCTTGGTCCTTGATTTCAAGGGTCTTCTCACCCCATATAAGGGAATCGGGAATCAGGCAAAATTTTTGCTTGTGGAATCCGGAATCCGGGACTTTGGTCACCGGAATACAGCTCAAGGAATCCGTACACCCACTAACGATTAGAATCCAGAATCCAAGTTCCACTGAAAAAGACCGGAGCCAATACCTGGAATCCGGAATATACGGCATGGACTCTAGATCCAAGGCTATCTTTTACATTCCCTTACCTTGGGCGGTTTGATATAACTCTCCTGGATTTTCTTTTAACACTTTTCTTCCTGGAAATTTCCCTTGCCCAGGCCTTGCTGAAAATGCAAGGAAATGGTAATTTGATTTATCCAGTTAAAATTTAGAAATTCTCTAGCGCCTGCTTTGAAGGCTGTTTAGTAAGGAATCTAACTTTTTTTTCTTTTAGCTATGATATAGAAGAATGCAAGAACTGTGAGTGTGACAAATTGACCTACAGTAGCAGTTATGACCGTATTGCGCTTGGTAGCGCAAAATGTGTAAGACGAACCTCTAGGTACCAGGAAGCTAGAAACATGCAAGGAGATGCTCTTCCCGAAGATTTTGAGGATGGACCAGATATTTGGTTCCGCTTTGTTTCTGATGATTCTGTTTTTTACAAAGGATTCAACTTGTCCTATATCGTCATTTCCGAAACGCGTAAGTTAATCCCTTTTCTGTCCCTTTTTCTAGTTATTAACAATCCGGAAAATTTCAAGTTGCAATATATTCAAAAAGCATGAAGCAAAAAAGCGAAAGTACTGCTTCATTATTAGTTTCTTTCATTTAATGAAGTTTAACCACCGACCCGACTCAGGAAGCTCGAAGTACACACAAAAATTACATGATGCACATTACATTGTTAAATTACTTTATACTACTACTACGTGAAAAATTTCTGCAATTTGATTGGCTTAGATCGAGAGCAGTGGTATTTCAACTTAATTTGAAATCCCTACATGTGAAAATTACAAACCTTTTGCGGTTAGTATAATAGCATGAATTGTACGTGATATTTGGCGTAAATTATAATCCTGAGAGAATATTCAGTGTGTTAAGGATTTCCCTACTGTACTGTTAGCTCTATACAAGAGAGGAAGGGCGATTCCTTTTTAATTTCCGTTTCGCTGACACAGCGTTAGCAGAAATCTCTCTGTAGTCGTTTTCGTCGACAAAACCAATAGCAATATCGCTCTCCGCGTCTTCCGCCATTTTGTTCTGCGTCAATTCGTGAAGGACGCGTGGCTCTGAGCGTGGGTCACCCACGCGGAACACATTCGCGCTATGTGATTGGCTGTTGTCTAATCCCCCTTGGGATCTGTGGTCTTAAAAATAACTCGAGACGAATTACCTATGAAATAGGGTGTGTATGGGGGATGCCTTCTCTATCCCCTTTATCCTCTCTTGGCGCTATTTAATACTAATATTTTATAGAACCAAAAAACACAAACATTGATCCCATCATCATCAGCAGCAGCAGCATCATCGTTATTAGTAATGTTATTATCGCACTATTGCATATCGTTGCCAACGTCAATGACTGCTAATTTTGTAGTGGAAATTTCGAATGCGATAGAACCGACATGAAACAAAATAGACAATAATAGTCAGAAAATACGACATCGCAAAGTGTGGCCCAGCTAAGGTAACAAAAATTTCAAAAATGCAAATACGAAAAGAACTGAAAACTTAAGTACAATGATACTAACAAAAGATCTCCGCCGTCTCGAACGTTTATGCTCAAGTTCCATCTTCTATGTAAGTTGTAACAACAAGGCATTTTTCGCCTTTTGTTGCCACAATTTTTTTCTTTCTAGCTAAATATTGAGGTGTCTCTGCCTAGAGCTTTGAAGTACGCTACTTGTTTCGCAAAATATGTCCATGATGATAAACCATCCAAGACCTATATAACTTACTACCAACCAAGCATTTGCCCATTTTTGATTTTAGATTATTCGCCGTAACTCAAGTACGACACTATTTGAAGGCCCAAACATTCTTATCAGTTTTTTAAACGCCGAAATTTCCCGCTACCCTGGTCTGCCTCAGGAGAAGTAAATACGTGAGATAATCTGAAAAGCCAGCATATGGGTCACGAAAACGAGTATTAACTTTGCACAGTTGATTGTAAACTTGACATCTGTGGGTAGGCCACGAAAACGCTCCAAATCCTTCTTTAACAATGAATGACGTATCTGTTTAAGATAATTAATGTGTCTGCCAACTTCTTGATTTTGTCAGACACCTTACTATTCGAGTATTTTTCGCTTTGAGGGAAAAGTTATGGAATTGGATTTTGCCAATAAATTCAATAATATGACTTCATAATGACATCAAATTACGTCTTGATTGTGTCAATCAAGTTATGCCTAGATGTTGGAAATCAATAATACATTATTCTGTGTTATTGTGGTGACCGTTTTATGAGTGGCCCTTATATAAATAATCATCATCATAAAACATCCTCAATAATAATAACAATAAACAATTATTTATTGTTGTTATTATTGTTGTTGTTGTTGTTGTCGATGATGATACTTATTATTGGGTATACTTAGTCCACAGACTATCCATTTCTTTTTTATTACAAAGTGCGATAGGTATTACAAAGTACGACAGAGACTCTGTTGCTTTAAAGCCCTTTGTGTAGTATTGCATCATATCCACAACAGTCATGACAATTTGACACTTTACTACCCCTCCCTTGGGAGAAATCCTTGTTAACTCCCAGACTATGGGAGCCACGTGACCAACTGTAACTGAGGTCCTTTCTCGAAGAAGAAAGGTATAAGACCCTACGGCCAAGCTTAAGGTTATCTGATAAACAATGTGTGTCGCATTTTTGGTATCGCTGATCATGATAACAATTTTTCATAACTGTGGTGTAAAGGTAACGATCCAAAAGACGGTCATTTGTAGCCTCCTTCTCATCCTACTTCCTATTTAAATGATTTCTTTAAGGGGTCAAGTAGAGATTGAACCACGCACAAATTGGTCTCGTTTAGTGTTTAGGGGTTTAATTTCAACCCTCTGAAGGGGAACCGGACCCCAATCCCGTGGGAAGTTCTTCCCTAGAGTGAAATCAAGTATCAAGCCTCAATCGATAGAGTGGATACAAACTAACATCGATTCACTTGAACAATGAATTTATCGCGGGTCATCAAACTTTGATATAGTACTTTTAATTATTAATTTGACTCGCTCTATTTTTTTTAAATTAAGTTAACCATCGGTGAGTGTAAAGAAAGTGTCAAGTCGTTTCGAACACCTTTAAGCCTCTCATTCAAATAAACAAATGTACTGTAGCAATAAAATGAAGTTATAGGTGACCTTTACATTGTTGTCCTTCTTTATTCTTAACGACGGCTTTAAACTGTCCATCAGAGGTTAACAAAGCGCATTAGAACGGAATTACGTAAAGAAGAACCTTTTTTTTGTTCACTTCTCAGTAAAAGATCTCGTTAACTTAGGTAAAAGCAGTAAGGATACGGGACCTACATAGGTCTCGTAAATTTACGTGCTATTTTTCCCGCAAAAAAAGTTTTATGCAACACCCGTATAATTTCTGTTGCATAAACGACACTTAAGTGAACACTTACGAAAATCGTAAGTGCAACCACTTAAGTGAGTTCCCTAACTGGATCACTTAAGTGATTTAATGCAACTCACTTAAGTTACGAGTGCACGTACGTATACCTGTAGTTATTACAGGCGTTTTATGCAACCAGACCCAGGCCCTATTTTTTCTAGGGTTTTTGTGACGTCATCACTTCTCTTCTCTATTCTGCATGCATTCCATTTTGCTTAAACCCGTATGATTTGATCTGTACATGTAGCTACATGTGTCGGCTAAAAAATAATAATACATTAAGGATAAGAAAAGCAGAAAGGAAACTTAAAAAAAAAATTTTCTTGTTGAGCTTACACTGGTGCAATTTTAAGTGTTATAAAAACTCGTGCTCCTATTTTCCTACCATTAAATGATGGCAATTTAGTGGCGAACCTAGAGTGGCCTGAGTCGGAACCAAATTTTTAGAGGCCCGCAGGGCTGACAAAGGTGTTTAGAGAGTACTGGACAAGTCGTAAGGTACTTGTCAACTCCCCCACCCACCCCACCCCTTCCCCGGCACTTGTTAAAGGTCTGAAGAAGTCATTGCATTGTCACTGGGATGGAACAACATTATTGCATGGTTCTTTTACTTTTGATTTAGCTTCTCCTGACTTTAGTAGCGTCCTAAATGCAACGGAAGATGAAACCTTTGAGATTGGCACCCCAAAAGTTGGTGAATCGAAAAACTATCCTGAGGGTTTCAAATGGGAATGGTTCTTAATTGTTCCTGAAGGACGGCAGGTAGAGCTTACCTTTGAAATATTCGAACTGGAGCAAAGCACAGACTGTGAGAACGACTATCTGGAGGTGAGACAAGCCCTCTTTCGATTGCCGTCCTTACGTCTCCTAAGGTTGGATGGAACGTATGGTTCAATTCTCTCCAAACCCGTATGTGGTACCAACAAGCCTAGTACGATTAGGAGCGTGGGTAACATGGTCTGGGTACATTTCAAGAGTGACCGCAACGCTACTACTACTTACAGAGGATTCAAAGCCTCTTTTAAAGCAGGTGTGTATATGAACATAAGTAACTATAAGGCGTTAGTTATGTCAGGGCTCGAACTTAACTTTTGAACTTAATAGTCAAATGGCTAGTACATGCTCGGCCTTTACTGGCCATAAACGTGTTTCTACTAGTCTAGGCACTTCTGTACAGCATAAAATAAAAAAATGTCAAAAATCCTGTTGTCATCAAACGTTAATAAAAACTGCAGCATAAGAAAAATTTAAATGCATCTTGTCTTGTATGTTTAGTTACAATACAACTAGGGTATCTAAAAGATAGTAATGCTGCGGCACATTCTGTTGATACTGGCATTAGTTAGGCAGTGAGACTTAAAAGAATCAAAAATGACATTGAATGTCCTATTTACATGTTGGAAAGTACTAGAATAATTACTACCAGTCTATAGAAAGAACTCGTGGGAACGTTGCTTAGAAAATGATCAAGTGGTTATCAACTCTGGTTTTCCCGCAGTAAATTGTAGGAAATAATAGAAATTCAGATCGTTTATCCATATAATTAATATACGGTGCACGATATTTTCTCTGGAAACACAATACTTTTCTTACTGTTTGTTTTACTTTATTAAGTAACAGTTATTTAGCTATATATTTATAGAAAACAACAACACAAAAAACGGGAAAAAAAAAAAAGGAATTAATGACTCAGTAGGATTCGAACCCGGCACCTTCGACTCGACGCGACTACACTTAACCACTACACCACAGAGACTGATAACGAAATTTTGAGGGAAAGTCTTTCCTTTTATTCCTTTTCCATGAAACTTCCGCCGGCAAGATCATCGCCAGCCACATTAACCGAGCTATTAACAGTGAAAAAACAATGTAAACGCATATTCCATGGCAATAAATGAATGAACGAACATAATTATGCTTTTCAAAACGCCGATACACGTCCTCGTCTGCAAAGTAGGACACAAAACATATGTTTTGTTATCTCGATTTCCGCTGTTATTTTGAAGCGAATGGTCAAAATCACATCCATGTTCGGCACATACAGTTTCTTAAGAATAGCATTGCATGATATTTTCTCACTTTCACATCACCTTCTAGCAAGCTGGAATTTGTATATCCCCCGTGTTGCGAAGTCGAAGAGTAAAAAAGGCTCTTGAGTCAAAAAAGGCTCTTGAATTGAAATCCAATCCCCAAGTTAACCATCGTACTCATCTGAAAGACTCATCTGGTAAGACCTCTAACTTTGCTGTAGAAAATTTGCCAGAAAGAAAACTCTAAGTCTGTGCAGCGAACGATGCACTCTCTCACCCACCGAACTTCCCCGTGTTTTTATTTGAGTTGTTCGTGGCGCAATGCACTCTGGTTAAATGCAATGCATTGTGGTAAAAAGTGATGAATTCGAGAATTCGTCGCCCCTTATATATTTCCTTTAAATCCTGATTATGTTGCTGCTCGCTCCCTTCGGTCGCTCCGCAGCAATAATAAATTTTACTGAACTCTACTAACAAGAACCCAACAGCACTTGTGCTGGTCTGCAGGTTAAAGTCCAGCAACCAGCACCTACACGATGCATAGTAGTAGTGCTGACACTACAGACAGTATAATAAATCAGTTCATGAAGTTCTTTCCTGACATCGCAAGAAATTGAAATGATGATCAATTTCATTGAAGGCTTCAATGATTAGTAGTCCTTCAGTGTAGGTCGTCTGCTCCGTTCTGACTCCTCCAACCAGCGCCCATCTGCAAGAACTGCACTATAGTCCTCATGAGAAGGTCTACTGATAACTATTCTCACCAGGTCCGTACAAATTTTCGTTTTGATGAAGATTTACATGTAGACGTGCTGCCTCCAGCAGAATCATCGCTTGCTCTCTTTAGACCTTTAGTTGTTTTATTTGACAACAGAAATACCCTAATATCCATGACAATCACGCGTGGACTGTGATCGTAGATTTGCATTTCAAGATGGCGGACATTTGTTTTTTGGCTAGCTTTGCATCATGGGGACGGCTTGGCCCATGCTCCCTGGTCATACAAAATTTCAAGATGGCAGGGAATAAACGCGAAACTGAAAACCGAATTAACAAATATTATTCTTATGTAGAATTACTTTTCTTTCTTTTATTCATGCCGGTTGTTAATGGGGGAATGAAATAAGAGGCTGCTAGAAGGTGCGGATCAACTGGGAAAATGTTGAAAACATTTCAAGGCTTATGTTGTAGTAAATGAGCTAAATCCACTAGCCAATTGTATTTTACTTAATTTAGTGTTTCATCAGTTCCTTGCACCTCGACCGTTGAGTGTACCTGTTGACTGAGTTATCATGCGAACTTGAACGTTTCTTCTTCCATGCTAAATATGCTTTCTTTTACACGTTTCTTTCCACAAAAAACCAGCCAATAAAAGAAAGAAAAGAAGAAAGGAATAAAAGTCTGCAAGACAGGATATTCGCTAAGCTAATCAGTAGAAATAACAACACTTTTTTAGAGAAGGATTAGTTTGCCGTTTCATATTTTTCTTCTTTAGAGAGCTGCTCTTCTGTTTTGACTCGCCATACGTAGCCTGTTCTTGACGTTCAAATAGTGGGGACAGGGAAGTAGAAGTGAGCAGCAAAACAGTGAGGGGGTAGAGTAGGGGATGAGGGTTCTCTCTTCCTCCTTACTTTTTCCCCGCTCTCTTAATTCGCGTCGCACTCCACTATCTGAAGGCCTGGAACAGGCTCGGCCATACATGACACACTGACCAAAATCACAGCGTGTCTCATAAAAGGATCCCACGATATTACAACAAAGTACACACAACGGCCACCCCTGACAAAGGCCATTTTTTAGCCGACAGTCCATACATTCATTTTTGTTTCAACCTCTCTACAATGGCCACTTTCTTCTGTCCCTAAGGTGGCCGTTGTAGAGAGGTACTTTTAACTGTTCGGTATATTCTTTAATTTTAATTTCTTTTAATTTTTGTAGGCCAGGGACGACTTTCCATCTTGCATCCGATGGCCCTTTTGTTCCTCTCAGCTCTGCTAATGGCTACGTCAAAGGACAATCTGTTCTGAACAAATGCAGCCAGACTCTTTGGTCGTTATAAATTCACATGAAATAACGTTTTCACTTAATAAGTAGGAACTTAAATGCTTTTGAGTAAATTTATCTGAAACGTTAAAAATTATCGCAGTGCTTATCTGACTGTGATTCTTTTTCACTTATTAAATCTCCTTCCAATATTCACAAGCAGACAAAACGCCAATTAAAAACTGAGGTCGCGCTCATATTTTCCAAACTTTACCACAATCCTTTGACCTTGTTTAATTTGTCAAATTTTAGGGAGTTTTTTAGGAGTTGACAAGGATTGTTTCAAGTTCAGAAAAAGAAAAAAAACCATTGTCTCGAGTTCATGTTCTCCATGAAATAAACGTAGTTACACGTGGTCATGTAATGACGGCAACCAAGACCAACTTGAAAGTGTGCCGCCCTGTGCAAGAGCGCTAGTGATTTTCTTATATAACTTAGCTAGGAAACGCATTTGCCCGTTGGCATTTTTATTGTTTTTAAGCTCAAAAACAATACTGAAAAATGGTAGCGGGTAAAACGAAAATCCAACCAGAACTTGTTGCCTTTTTCCGTTTTTAGCAAGCTTTATTTATAGTTGAACCATTTGCCCGAGCCAAGAGCTTACAACAGCGCTCGCGCATGCTCTGATTGTCTCGCCTTAGCCGAGTTGGCTCGGCTAGGAGGGTGACCCTTTTATCGAAAAAGGCCGCGTTACCCAGCTAGGCGGGCCACCCTTTCGGCCGAGCCGATGTTTTGTTTCTCATGTAAACAGTTATTCAAGGTTTGTAAGGAACTGTACGAAAATGTGGCTTCACCACGGTGGCTCGGGTAGGCGAGTGACCTTTCAACCTGGGACATAAGTTTTCTCCATATGAACCGAGTCTAAGTAAATTTCCATTGCATGTAATCAGAGCTATTCAGTAATTTTTAGGATCACTAATACTGCACGTGTGAGCCAAATATAATCTACAATTAATTATAAGTTTGTAAAAAAAAATGGTTATAATCATCGAGTGAATTATGTAAAGGACATTGCTGGATATGGGCAGCCATATTTATCTAGTCAGTTAAGCTACACGACGAAGGTCGAGCCGTTCGCGGGACAAAGGAACTGTTCTTTCTCTGCCATTTCAAGACCCTGAGTGTTGGTTCGGCTACACTAGACCTTCTGCTCCGCACACCACCGCTCTACTGACTGTCAATTAACCGTGTTAGGTAATATAGCTGATTTTAATAAGACCCAGAATCCAGCATAGACAACTGTATCAGTTCGTAAAAGCCCTGTCTCAAGGAGTTTCTTGTGATTACTCGATAATAAAAGTTGTTCTGGGACTACTGGACTCAGTTTATGTAGGTCCTGTCGCTTGCATATACCTACTAGCAGAAAAAATTTTTGTCATTCTTATGTTAGCTCTTAACAATAAACCATAATGCTTCAACTATAAACTGCGTCTATTCGAAATACGTTATCCATAAAAGGACCTCAGGAACTTTTATTAAAGTTTCCTAAACAAATTTCCTCTTGACCTTTTGACCTCTGCATTCAAACAGTCTATCCTTGCAGCGATACCTGCTACATCCTCCGCAGAACAATTATTCAGTGCGTTACGGAGATTGAGAACTTACCTTCGCAGCACCATGGGGCAACAACGTGTCAGTAACATCGCACTTATTAACACTGAAACGGCATATGCCAACTTTGTAGTCAACAATAACGTGATTCGTATCCTTGACATCTTCGGCCGTCGAAATGGCAGAGACAGCTATTTCTTTCAACGTGTTTATGAGCTCCTATGAGCGCCTATGTTAGTGCATCATATGACCCTCATTTCTTTTCAACAATTTGGGCAACTTGCGACAATTTTCAGGCAATTGGTTAACCCCTCCGGCAAAAAAATTGCCCGCTCGTTCACCTTTGAGGTTGATAGAAACGGGCTGAATTTGATCTGAAAAACTTAAAATGATAAGATGACTGGCACTATTCAAATGGCAGCACTGCTTGTTTACTTTCTTCCTTTCAGTATTAGCTTAATTATATAACTATTCAGAACTAATTCTCGCAAAAAATTATTCTTAGATGGATGACATCTTTGTTTTTGATTTCGATACTCGTCTTTTTAAATTTCGATTCTGTAGATTTATGATAATTCATCAATAAAAACTGCTTTTGGGCACATTTCGATCTCTTATCATGAAAGGTAAAAAGATTTGCATCAGGAAAGGTTACAGTGCGAGCGGGAAAACCGTGAACACTTGAAATAGTTCAAGAATGTTTATTGTGTTAAGACCAATAATAGCAAGGGTCAGGACATGCGAGCAAGCCACAAAATAGCCTGCGAGCAAGCTCTCGGGGCGCTCTGGCGGCGGGGCGGGAAAAGGAAGGGGTCTTGCAACTTCGTCTCTGGAATTTGAATATATGCATCTAAAAAGTCAATGTGAAATGCTGATTGGCGGAGATGACATTAGTAATGACGTCATTACCCTTGGCGCGTGCTTTCACGCGTTTTTCAATGTTTGCTTGATTCACGCTCGTTTCCGCTTCACGCTGATTGGCGGAAATCTTACAGCTCAGTTGACGGGGAGCCACAGGGGAATTGGAGGAGGAATTCAATTTCCAGATTCCCTCCTCACCCCGCCACCAGAGCGCCACGGAGAGCTTGCTCGCTGGCTAGCCACGGATTTCGAGTTCCTTTCGGCAAATCCAAATCCGGATTTTTTACCTGGTGAATCCTTTTGGAAAAAGGATTCCTTGGATTTGAAATCCGAAGAATCCGAATCCAGATTAGCTCAGATTAACGGATTAGTGATCTACACTGTTCCAGTCAAAGTGGATCCGAAATTAGCCAGATGATCCAGCGATATTTCTAGTTGAAGTATTCCCGTAGAGTTTTCTAGTTGTTGCCATTTGCCATTAAACATCTGAAAACACTGGAAGATTGTTTCTGGTACAGTAAAATATCCATAGGCTAACCATTTGTCGCTTAAAAACACAAGTAAAAGGGACAAATGAACTCCTATCTTTCTACAAACTCGCTTATAGACGCGATAGGCACTCGATCGTGTTAGAACCTTTAGATAATTTTCAACTTTAACGCGCTTCTTTCTTGATCTGTTTATGTACCATCGTCGCTATTTGAACTGCCGGCCACAAAATTCTGCATGGTATAATCGCATAATTTATCAAAAATTAGAAAACACGTCATTTCTTGAGAGGCTGCCACTATTGCACCCGTTTGCGACGGGCTACCAAGGTTACAAATCCAATTTCGGATTTCGCGTCCCTTTCGATCGCGAAACTTGTCCAGCAAATCTCGGATTAAAAGTCCGTTATTGGATTCGTCGAAAGAACACACCCTAAATTTTACCAAGCCTGATTTGCTTTTTTCTTTCAACACAATAACATTCCAGAAATATTTGTGGTGGTCACGGTTTTCCCGGTTTGACTGTAAAACCAGTGATTTCTTGATGAATTCAGAAAAAGTATTGGGTCGCATTGAATTATTCGAAACACTCACTATCTTTTTTATGTACTTGTTTTCGCCTTTTTTTAATTTCTCGCCTAATTTAGCCATCTATATGCTGATTCTGGCTTCGAAAATGGCGGCTGCCTCTCCTTCGTATGCAAGCTCCGCTTGTTGAATTAAAAATACTCTAAAGTCATGTAATCGCATTGTGATAATTAGCTAAGATATTTACCCAGATTCAGGTATCAACAACCGAATACTGCCCTAAAAACTCGAATAGACGCGCGTCAAAACAACTTGTATCTTACACTTAACTAGACAACTTTATTGACTTTAACAGAATCATTGCCTATGTAAATAAACGCATCCACAATAGAATCAACAAAGAAAAAGTGCACATAATTTCAATCGACCTCCTGATCTCCCATTCATCTGATTCACTTGTCTTAATTTTTGTTCGCCTGGTTACGGTTGCTATGCAAACAATATCAGTCAATAAGTTATACTTATCTCTGGTAGACCTTGTGGGGTGTGTTACATTGTCAACAAGACGCTACGGAGCGTACACTTCGGCTTCGTGGTTGTGGAACTGATTAATTGTAAATGTGGAGGAATAGTAAGAATGAAATATGGTAAGAGTAATGTGTTAATTTGTGAAATTATGGGATTTGTCAGGATATTCTGAAAAGAGAAATATCCAAGAGGCCTACTTGCCAAAAACTGGCATTTCGGGACAAATTGTCTCTGAGATATCACGAGGAGCCGCAAGGGGTGATATTTTTGCACGGCATCTGGCGGCACATCAAAGAATTTGGAATTGAAGGGCAAATTCCTAGAATATCTTCGCCAGTTAAGCTAGAGAAAAGGTGTTAAAAAACCTCAGGATCCAAAACAACACGTCAATCAAAATATCACTTGGACCTTTTCGCTAATGAAGAGCTATCACGCGGCTAAGCTTGAATTAGACATATATTGAAATAGGAACTCGTGTCAATAAAGTATCAGAAGTGAGTGGGAATCGCTCCTGGTTAAAAAACTGGTTCACAGGGATATGCATCTCTTCTAGTTAAGAGAAGG